CTCTAAAGGCAATATGGGGGGACGAGTGGGTCCTCTGACAGATCATTGTACGCGTCTATGCCATAGTCATATACGTAAGTTCTGCTGCAGCTTGAAGTTATAGACATTCTATACTCACTTTAAGGTGTATTTTTTAAGATCCTTAAAGCTAAATACTACTTAAATATGGAACGAGAAAAACCAATTGCCGAACAGTTATCAGGCTGTACGGCTGTCTAACCCCAAACCGAGCATGCCTAATAAGGATAGTGCTTACTGAGATGATCGTTTCCCGCGTACACGCCGTTATCGATCAGGCTCACCTAATCTCAGGTTTGCAGGGCATGAACGAGTAGTCCGTAACTGCCAGCTCAACAAACTCGGCAGCATGGCCGTCCGTTTAAGTAATTTTACAGCTTTATTACCAGACCTCACCTTTTAATGATGAGGCAAAGCTTTTCAAAAAATTACGAAGAGGTTTAACCTTTGACTGCTCTGGTGGGAGGTGTAACCATGTTGGAGAAACCAGCCGACAGCTGAAAGTGCGAATGCGAATGCATGATCATCAGTTGGCCACACGAAGACGGGACCCAATGGCAACGAGACACGTTGAAATGGTGGGTCGAGTCGACAATCACACGTCACGACCAATGAAGCCCCGCGTGTGCACGCCGTGACTGCCTGCTGCCAAGCAAGGTTCGTAAAGCGAGAGGCAGAGGACGGGTAGATAAATGTGACTGAATGTCAGCTCGGCCCCACGCCGCGTTTATCTGCCCCTGGGCCTTGTCTGGTTTTCCAGCTAGTCGCGGTGTATTGAAATAGGGGCATGGGAGAACACACGGCTTGTTGGCATTAGAAAAGGCCGTGAAACAATGCACCCAGCCGAGGCATGCATCAACATGCATATTGATTTGGACGCCAGCTATAGTTACCTCAAAACCAAATTCGCTGCGCGCCACCAAACACAGCAAATTAACGAAAGTCACGTAAAACTTACTAGCACAGCATGAAAATCCTGCTAATCGGTGCAGACGTCAGATGAGTATTGATTTTTCTGAACGTTAAGCATTTTTTGCACACTTTTTCACGTCCGAAGACGACCAGTTGATCATGCATATAAAATTTACACAATTAAGTTCCAATTTTTCCAAAGGAATGCTTATCCTCATAATAGTCATGGTGTGAACAATCGCGGCCGCCAACCATCGATGAGGCACCACAGGCGGTCAATGGGATCGGGGCAGAGGCGCGGCCGTGGGAAGGGCGTCAGACGTAGTGACACAGCTGGTACTGGCAGGTTATCCGCATAGCACAGAGCGGCACAAAGTAAGAACTGTTAGCCTGCATGTCCAGTTCTTGAAGATGGATAGAAGAAATTGCTAATCGAGACGTCAGGAGCACAACAAAAGTCTACAGGTGAATACTCCTTCTTTTTTGACTTAAAACCTGGGAATTGTATTTTTACTACTATTAATCTGTCTTTTATAAATGTTGACGATCACAGTGTGGTGCCGTTTAGGGCGCCATCCCCTAGTGCTCTGGAGGAACATGAACCAACCAGAGCAGGATAGGGCACGGTTATAAGTACCCCTTCTGTACTGCGGGAGGGAAGGTTGAGGTAAGCATTACGGCTAGGACTAGGGGGGTTACCGTAGCGTTTACGGTTAAGGCACGAGAATGGGTACGTTCTGAAATTTACCACAACACCAGATGTTGTTGTTATACCTAATCATCAACTATTCGGAGCAGCAGCGCAACGATTTCCGTAGTCATGTTCTTGTAAGCCATCTTTCATGACGCCAGGGAATAAATCCCACAGGATGGTACAGGCGAATACTGCTGGGAGTGCTACCAATCGTTGCACTCGTCGCTTTTTTCTCTGGGACCCTATTTCTGGCACCAAAATCTTAGTCGACTATAGTGCTAAAGTCAGCGTGAACCCACCAATCCCATCTGATCACAGGCAACGCAGCACAGTGTATTTCACAGCTGCCAACAATCCCAGCAGTTCCACCTTTGGCCAGCGCTCCATCACACTTGACATGGGCCGAAACGTCAAGCCGCTCCCAGGGAACGCTCATTTCCCTTTCGTCTTCTTACTCAATCGTCAAACTCGATGGTCTCGGTGTCTGGTAGTTTGTAGATTGACTATATCATTCGTATAAATTGAAAAAAACACGCATCCTAAGAACTTTTAATTTGAAGAATAATTTGTTCTTTGGGATAAAACGTAACTTTAATTAGTATTTGGCTTTTACACCCTAAGCATAGGGTCAGCTATCTTTATAATAAAGATGTCATTTACAAAATCTCATGCGCAGGTTGCGATACTGTATATTGTGGTCAAACAGGAAGCTCGCCCCAACACGCATCCACGAGCACCAATAGGCTGTGCAGAGACGTGACCATTTGTCTGAAGTGGCTGTGCGTTGCCCCGACACAAGACACACCTTTGCATGGGTAAAACACGCATCGTCGGAGTTTGCCCATCCAAAAGTGGCCGAGAATTTCCTGAGGCCATGCACTCCGGCGACTCATGCATCAACCGGCACATACAATTGGATGGTACTTATGAACACTTTAAAGAACGGTGGAAGAGTGGAAGACGGCACGACACAGACTATTTGGGGACATGCATACCAATCGGGTCACACCGCGTATAAATATTGATTTTCCGCACGTTTGAAATGTTAATTGTTCATTGCACACTGCTTGTTAGTCCGAGGACGAGCCGAGGCAACAGACTCGAAAATTCACCGAGTAAAGTTACGCTTTATCCCATAACAAATTTTTTTTCAAAATAGATTGACTATCTAAGAAACCATACTTATGTAGTCAGCCTACGATATCAGAATTTGTCGGATCCATAAGTTGCACTAAGGTAGGCAAGTAATTTCACCCAATTGTAATTAAACTCACGTCTTCTATTGAGGTCTCGCAGCTCAGTCGGCTAGAGTGTTAGCTGAACTGTAGCCTTCGACTTGCTAGGTTGGGCTCGCATTCCGCCGTAATCATAGAGTTTTTCAAAAGAGGGTCAAATGAATTATTTAACTCTAGCAACCTCCCACGTAAGCAAGACGAAGTTGACGTTTTGAATTTGACCCTTTTACTCAACGTTTTAGAAAAGGTTTTGCTGCTCTCAAAGGCACTCACTCTGATTCAGATATCCAGAATACTAAAATCAATGATGGAATGGTTAAATTGGAAGACTACACAGTAATATCTTTTTGTTAATTCAAATCGGAAAAGTGACTAACCTGCACCATGTCGTGTCTCCTGAGGACCGCGTTGTAGTTGCATGCCATTCTGGATGCACTGAACTGGATGTGCTAACCGTCTCCGCATGCGACGTTTCAGCTGTGCTCGCCGGTGGTGGAAGAAGAAGACCGCCGTGACAAGAAGCGATAGCAGGACTAGACTGAGGCCAATGGCGATGCAGGCTGTGACCAGTTGATCTGCCTCTATGTTGAAGAACCGACTGGAAAGGTAGTCTCGCTCCGATCCATCCGCGATCCTCACCTTATGTGCTTCTTCATCCAGCAGCATACCATTGTGCAGGCCGATTGGCTCGCTCTCATCTACCATGACGAAGATGGTTGAAGTGATTTTTCGAGCCGGCGTGCCTTGATCGGCGGCCTCCAAAATCAGTGTGTTCTTACCCTGGTGGGGTAAGACAGTTTGCTTAAGTGCTTACCAAGAAAGACAGTTGAGAAGTATGGCGTCCTCTCGATTAAAATACGGGATTTCTAACAAACTGAACATCAACGATTTTGAGGCCTTTTTAGAATAGATTTATGATACTATGCAAGAACAGATTAAAATGGCTTCAGGATGACCTCCACAGATGTCTATCATGACAAGTAATCTTTACAATAATTGTCACGCCATTATCAGGCCCGCATCCGACGCTGACAAGACAATTGCGGCAATAAGTGAGTAGAACGCGAGGTATCAAGCCAGTACCGCATCAACTAGGACCCAAGCGGTGGCTACAGAAGTGAATAATTATCGCACGCACGCGGATGACCACTATGAACTGTAAATACCGTGCGATCTGTGTATGCTTCAACCCTATCTGCGCATGACTATGACTATGCTACCATCATCTATGATAAAGGATTCCCGACGGAGTCCGAAAGGTGAGGAAGATAAAACTTTTGTTCCAGTGATCACATCCTCTTCTTCTGAACTGCTTCCTGGAAGTCACATATTCTCGATTATTGGCCATCTTTAGAATAAGGGAAACTAGAATAGAGAACAAAACGTAACCTCAACGGATTGAGCATTTGAAGTGTTAATCTCCAGTGTAGTGTTTTATTATCCCAGAATTGAATGCTTTATTTCTAACATATGCATGGCTTTGCCCGTATTAACCATTGATTACAACCTAAAATGAAGGTTAAGTGCAAGGAACGGCTTTTATTGAGCTATTTCTTTAAATTATTGTCTACTTCTTATAGCATAAGTCTCCTTTGAAAACGCCCAGCCTCATTTGAACAACAGAATGTAACACGGGAAGTTTTGGTCATAACCCGAAAAGGCGTTAAATGCATGGTGGATTTCGCGCCCTTTTCTTAA